TTTTTTCTCTCTGAAGTTGAAAGTTGGCTTTGAAAAAAAATTATAATACAAATTTAGCCCCTCTTATTTAGTTGAGCTTCAGATTAACTGTGCCATGGATAGTGCAGCAGGCTTGGTCATAGGCCTGGGTTTATGTGCTAGGTATGAATTCACTGAGTGCCGTCATAACTCATGCTGATTCAGGTAAACAGCTGCTTTGGATAGCACTAATACTAGCTGTGGAAGTATTGACATGTGAAGGTAGAGCCTGATTACTAAACTTTGAGGCAGAAGACCCTTCAGGTTATAGTGGAATCTGTGGGGGAAATGTGGGTCTGCTATGTTCTGTATTAAATTGTGCTGATTAAGTTGGACGTGCTTTGCTTCTATTCTTTGTCAGTCCTTATAATGAAGCATAGGGATCTATCTGCTTTCTGGCAAGCAGGTGTAATAAGAGTGTTAGACTTAGTTGAAGTTATATTCCAACTGAACTATGGGAATAAAAGGTTTAAAATTCTGCTTTAAATTAGATTTTCATAGGATGTGTTGCCCTCCTTTTTTTTTTTTTTTTTTTTTTTTTGGTGAGGAGTGCACGATGGATGCAAAGTGTGCAAGAGAGATGAAAATACTCATCAGTTACTAAAACTTCCTTACAGGTAGCTTAGACTGATTTAAAACTAAGCAAACAAAAAATGCCCACCATTCTTTCAAATTTGAAACTGTTTTTCTAGTATGAGCAGAACTGTCATGTCTTTTTATTTATATTTATTAGTATTTTTTATGTTATGCATAAGTAGTAACTGAGCCAATAAGACTGTCTGTTCAAATTATTGGCAGTAGTGAAGATGAAATTAAGTATCACACTTAAGTAGTAGGCAATAAAGAGCATCCTTTACTAGATGATTGAAGAATATACGATCAAGTCTGTCTAAATTTGGGTCGAGTTTGGTTGTGACAGTATAGCTAGCTCTGACATTTTATGCGTGGCTGTCACATGAAATATTAAATACAACTTGCTCCTGTCTAAACCTTTCTAAACCAGAGTTAGTTCTTATTTTGCTGTATGGATAACTTATTCATACTGAGGTAAAGGAGGAAATTTTACAAATGCATCTATCAGAAAACATGGCTGAGCTCTGAATTCAGGGGTGTGAAAATCGTAATTCTCAGTATGGGACAGTAAGTAAGGTGTAATTTTCTTACATACTTTGCAAAAGTTATTAGTCAAGCTGCAGGCATTTTAGCATGGAGTTAAAGAAAAAAATGAAGCCAAACAACTGTTTCTATTTTCCATTAAATAAAACAGGGGAATGCATCTTCCAGGAACTCACTGTTGATGTTACGTACTCTGTAATAAATGACTTAATTTTTTTTTTATATGTATTATGAGTGTTTATGGTTATGTTATTGAGAGGGGTTTTATGAGAATTCTTGTTACTTGGTACACATGAATTCTAACACCATAGAGAAACACACATTTCTGACTCAGGAAAAACTGAGTAGAAAGTGTATTACAAAATAATTAAGTTTTGATACTGTGACTAGTCTTGACATTGACCTGCTTGGTTAGTCAAATGTGGCGAATTTTTAACAGCAAGAGCACTTCACAAAGTTATGTAAATTAAATGCTGTACTAATATTTCTTAATATCTCCAAAATTGCTGTTGAATGCAGGGGGGTATACTTTCTCCAAACTGTTTGAATAAAAATATTAACCCAAAGCAAATTACAGTAATTTCATTAATAAAGCTAATCTTTAAACTTTCGTCGCCTATTTGTGCTTAAGTGCATAATTGGGTATTTACAGATAAAGTGCTAATTTAGTTTCTAAATGCTTCAGGTGTCACAATAAAACAGATGACTTTTGTACTGATGTGTCTGTTTTCTGCTTATATTAATATACTGACATTGAACTTCCATGGCAACTTAGAGTCTGAGAACTATTAGCTACTCTATAAAGAAACTTGCAGGTTTACAAAAAATAAGTCTTCTACTTGGACATTAGCCAAAGGTGACATTAGGCAATCTTAGATTGATGTTGACAGGCCTATTGTACTCCTTAGCTACTTAATTCTGCAGCACACTAGCTCCTGTTGGTGCTAACACTCATTCTACTGCGTGTTGGAGGAAGGGAAGTCTAGCCACATCAGTAGCAGTGCTGGGAGGAGGTGGGACAACTTTTGGCAGCCACTCTTAAAATGGCTTGAGTCTGTCATGAAACTACATGTTTGGTTTAATAGGAGGAATATCCCAAAGATATCACTATACAGTAGTCAAAGTATAGAAATACTCTGTTATACAGACATCAAATAATATTTTAAGTTAGAAGAAACCTGTAGAGGTCATCTAGCTCAGCCCTTGGTTCAACACCAGGATAACATCAAAATAGGTGAGCTTTGTCCAGTTAAATCTTTAAGATCTCCAAGGCTGAGTTTCTACTTCGTCTATGCGCAATTGGTTCCGGTGCTTAACCTCTTCCATATCCCTGTCCCCCCCGCCTTATATCTCTGCAAAACTGCCTGTGCTGCAGCTCCTTGATTGCCTCACATCTTTTTATTGTGTACCCTGAGAAGTGTGCTCTGCTTCAGCTGTCTTAAGTGGGTTTTATGGAGAGAACAGCAATTAGACGCAGCCCACCTCACTTCCCTCCCCCCCACCCCTGGTATTTTTTTCAGGATTAAAAAGCACAGGTCTGTGTAGCTTTTCCTTGTATGCCATATGCACCAGCCCCCTAATCAACTAAGTGACCTTTTACTGTTTTTTGTCTAGTTGATCCGTATCTTATTTACTAGATGCTGAGAGGGGGAACAGTGCACAGGACTCGGATACAGTGTTGTGAATGCTGACTGCTGGGGAATAGCAGCTTCTTTTGACTTACTGACTGCAGTTCTGCCAATGCAGCAGTGGCAGGTGTTGGCCAGGGTCAACTCAAACACCCACAGAGCTGCTTGATCACTTTCCTCTTCCTCAGGATAAGGAGAAAATAGAAAGAAGGCAAGAAGCCTCATGGATCAAGAC